ATTATCTCTGGGAGCCTGAGTGAGCAGGGCAGTGGGAGGAGGTGGCAGGGGGTGCTCAGCCTGTCCCTGTGACCCGCAGGGAGGCCAGACCGCGCTGATGCTGGGGGTCAGCCACGACAGGGACGACATGGTGCGAGCCCTGCTGTCCTGCCAGGCCGATGTCAACCTGCAGGACGAGGAGGGGACCACGGCGCTGATGGTGGCCTGTCGCCAGGGCAACGCCGACATCGTGCGGCTGCTGCTGGCCCAGCCCGGCTGCCAGGTCACGCTGACCGACAAGGTGAGGCTACACAGCTCCAGGGCGGGGAAAGTCCCCTGGGATCGTGGGTTCCCGGCAGCAATCCCCCACGGGTGGGTTTTGGGTGAAGAAGTGCAATTTCAGTACGTTTTCTAATCAGTGCATCACTGTTAGGAGGGTTCCCCTGTGTGCCTTGTGTAGGGTGGTAGTGACAGCTTCCTGCATCCCAGGATGGGCAGGAGCATTGGTGTAATTATAAAAAAAAAACCCAGATCAAATCCTGGACGTATGGAATCTGCAGAGTTTCACCTTCCGTAAATTAGCAGCGATTAACTCCTCCCTGAGATCGGAGGCTCTCCGTGGGGACGCGTGGGAYGGGGCTGGGCTGGGAGCGGCACTGCCGCGGGAAATTCCTCCTGCTGGCCACAGGAGTTACGGAACTATTTTCGAATTAAACTGTAATTTTATCTGAAACAAGCAGGCGGGCACCGGGGCCAGGCAGAGGCTCAGCCGGGCTGTGTTCGGGTGGGACGGGGTCTCGCTGTGCTGCGGGCAGGAGGTGCAGGGAGGGAGGTTCGGGATGGAGCGGGATTCGGGCAGTGATGCTGCTCCTCTGTCCTGCAGGACGGCAACTCGGCGCTGTCGCTGGCCCACGGGGACATCGCCGCGCTGCTGCGAGCGCATATGGAGCTCAGCCCGGTGTGAGCCGGCGGGGATGGAGCCGGGCTGGGAGCTGGAGGGAGCAGCTCCTCCCGAACAGCCCCGCGGGGTCACGGGCAGGAACCTCCCTGCGTTACTGAACAACCTTCCCTGTGTCTCATCCTCCTCCTTCATCCCTGTCACAAACCCCGATCTGTGCCCAGTGCCACAAACAACTCCAAACTCTCCTGCCCCGCTCCTCCCGGTGTAGATTTGGCAGCCAAAACGAGGGAGAAATGCACATTAGAACGGCAGCACTTACTCTTTTGTAACCTGAGGTTATGGGTGTCCTTTTAATCGACTGCTTAACTGTATCTCATTTAACTTGTAAGTTTGTGTCCTAATATTTATTATCAGCTCTTCTGCGAGTAGTGGCAGGCAGCGATTACTCCGTGTATGTAACAACAAACACAAGCTGGACAGATTACGGAACGCGTAAAATCCTATTTATGTTTGCTTATGCGGGTCTGATGCAAGAATTAAAAATTAATGCTCTAGGAAAATATTTGCCTATGCCAGACCCAAACACACAGACATTGTTTTGCCTGGATTTGGAATTACCATATGGCCCAGATTTTCCCCTAATTAAGTTGGAGCTAACGGGGAAGCGCAGCCACTGACAGGCTCGGCATCGCAGTGGGGCGGAGCAGGGCGTTCCAAACCCGGGAGGATCCCGGCAGATTCCCGTCACAGGGCGTGTCCGTGCTGTCCGAGAGCTCCGAGGAGTGGCTTTGCTGGCAAACGCCTTTTGGAGCAGCTCTCTGCTCGATTTTAACGTTCCCGAGCTCCTCCTGCAGAGCCACGCCGTGATTGAGCTGCTGGAATCGGGGCTCCCCCACCACAGGGTACAGCACCACCCCAAATCAGGGGTTTCCCTGAAATCCTTCTGCTGTTGATGGAGAGGGAGGCAGAGTTCAGGTCCCACTTTCCCAAGCATCCTTATTTTGCTGCATGTGGACCTACTGGATGCTCTCCCTTGGCTTTGGTGGAGATGGAGGGTGCCAAACTCACGTCTCCCTGATCAGCTAATTGCTCTTTCTTTTTGTAGAAAAAGCAGAAGTGAATTCCAGACCACTTTGGTGGTTGTTAAGTCAGTTCACATCCTGATAAAACATCTCTTGAGCTGCCTTGAGCCCCCATCCTTGCAGGGAGGGGAGAAGAGCCCTGACCTCTGTTTTCCATGGAAATCTGCCATCTGCTCCACTTTCTTCCGTTTCTTCACATTTTCACTCCAAAGCATTCACAATCTCAAACTCCTATCTGCCTTTTTTTTTTTTTAATCTGTATCCCAAAATGCAGTTGCCTCCTTTATGGATAAATAAACTGAGTTAAACCTTTCCCTGTGTGTGCTCCTGTCCCCATGGCTGTGACATTCCTAGGGTGATTTCACACCCCTGCACGGCCCCAAACCACTTTTTGGGCTGTTTCTTCAGATCAGTGACCTGCCCTTATCCCCCAGGGATGTCCCTGCACAGACATGGCAGGGTGTGGGTTTTTTTTTTTAGCAGGAATTCCCCCAATTTCTGTAAAATGGGCATCTCTGTCTGGCCCCAGCTGCAAACAAAAAGAGCCACAATACCGTTTTGTGGCAGTTTTCACTGAGWTTTTTTCCTGGCAGCTCTGGATCTGTGTTTGCAGACAAGAACTTGACTCCTGAGGAAGGCGAAAGTTCCAGCTTCAGCAGAAATGTGGGAGATTCTGTGCTAAGGATCAGGGTGGTTTGGGAAGTGCCTGCTTCCTCCTCGATTTGGGGACAGGGAAGTTATTTTTGGGGGGTGCTGCAGCTCTGCAGACTTTGCTGMCTTTCCTGCCCCACTCCAATGCCCCTTTCCCTCCTGTTTCCATCCCTCCATCCCCAGGATGTTCATTTTCATTCCTTTGCCTCAGATTTCCTCTCTGCCCCTCAAACCCTCTGCTCCTGTGCACCCTGAGGGGTCATGGATGGGCTGATGCTGCCCTTGGCATTTCCCAGTGCCCAGATTCTGCTGTCAAAGCAGCAAATCACACCAAAAAAAATCATCTGTGGGATCTCAGTGCCACAAAGAGCCAGCCTTGATTTACATATTCCAAGATCAAACTAAATATAGGAACACAGGCCCAGCGTGAGCCCTGTGCAGCAAACGCAGAYAATGGAGGCACAGCAAGGAAAGGAATGAATCTGATGATCTCCACAGGCTCAGCATCCAGCAGTGGAAGGGAAGGAATGATGAGGAACTTGGCTGAGCATGAAATTTCCACTCTTTTCATGGGCATTTATAGGGAATCCTTTTCTTCTGCTGTGAGAGAAGGGGAGRGGGCTCTGAGGGTCTTGGCTGAGGAACCTTAGAGGTCAGGGAGAGGCACAACACTCACACATCCTCAGCATGAATGGGCAGAGAGGATTGGGAACATCCAGTGTGGACAAAAGAAGGATCCTGGAGTGCTCAACGCCCCTTCCAGGCCCTAATGTGGCTCCAGGAGAGCTGGAGAGGGACTGGGGACAAGGGATGGAGGGACAGGACACAGGGAATGGGGTCACACTGCCAGAGGGCAGGGACGGATGAAAAATTAGAGATAAATTCTTACCAGTGAGGGAGGTGAGGCCCTGGCACAGATCCCTGGAGGTGTCCAAGGCCAGGCTGGATGGGGTTTGGAGCATCCTGGGACACTGGAAGGTGTCCCTGCCATGGTAGGGGTGGCACTGGATGGTGTTTAAATTCCCTTCCAACACAACCCATCCAAAGAAAACCATCTCCCTTTAATTTGATCAGCAGCCAGGACCTGCCCCCTCAGCAGCTCAGACAGCAGCACTGCAGCAGCTCTCAGGAGAATTTAAAATTCTTAGAAGAAACAAATGTTGTGACAGATTTATTTGCTGCAGGGGCGCTGTGTGGGGCACAGTGACTGCTCCTGTGCTTTGGGGCCTGTGGGGCCCCTGTTCTGACCCCACAGATTGCTGTGGAAGGGCCAATTTGCCCTATTTTTGCCAGAATGGAAGGCAATTAGCAGCAGGAGCGAGCTGGGCCATGATTTCCTTCCCTAGAAAACCTCCTGTCACCGTGTCTCTCTTTTTTAGCGACCATATATATCCCTAGGGAAAAGGCCAGAAAAGGCCGGCTCACCGTGTGGGAGTTTGTCTTTCCCGGGCTGGGCTGAGAAGGTGGAGAATCCTCAGAACATCTCTGTGGGCAGTTCCGGCAGCTGAGGGCTACAGAAATGCAAGATTTTGTCAACTGCTCCATCTAGTGCCGTTTCAGCAGAAAAAGAACAAACCCCGGAGCTGCGCTGGGCCTGGGCCGCTCTCCCGGCCTGCAGTGCTGCCCTGCGCTTATCTCCTCACCCACAACCAGGAATCCTCACTTTATCCTGCTTTTCTCATCCTCAAAAAACAGGATTGTAAAGCTTTCCATGCTCTGGATAACACAACATTCTTTAGGAGCATTTTCCACTGTTAAGGAATCCCTCAGGTTGGATGGGGCTTGGGGCCGCCTGGGATAGTGGGAGGTGTGGATGGGGTGGGATTTAGGAGCCCAACCTAAATAATTCTGGGATTCTGGGATTCTAAATAAAAAGGGAATAAAAAAAATTATGCTGCCATTGCGTGTTTTCCCTTTTTGTGCAGGATTTGGGAGGAAACTCTGCTTCAACCCCACCAGACTTGGGAGGGCAGCAGGGCCCTCAGAGCCCGTGTGGGAAAGGCTGAAAGCAAAGTCAGGGTGATCCTTGTTCCTTTTCCTTTTGGGATGGTGCAAAGCACGATCTCTGGGATTTGCTGCCGTCCCAGAAGGCGCAGCTCTCCCAGGAATGTGATTGTCAGGGAGCAAACACTGCTGAGAAGCAACAATGGCCATGGCAGTGTTCAAGCAGGACATCAACCCAGCCCAATTCCCTGTGAAGGTGATAATGGAATTATGCACCAATGCTCAGCACAATGGTAAAAAAATTTGATGTTTTATACATGTGTGATGTTWAATTAATGAATTCCACTTCTTTCAGCCTGAGGGGCATGAACTCCTCCATGCTGGCATGATCATGTTACCCCACAGGCTCTGTGGATGTCACACTGCCAGGGTGGCAATCGCCATGGGATCAATTCCAGGGAATTTAGGGGTATTACAGTAATTCCTCRTGAGCAGGATAATGGGGTGGAACCCCTCATTCCTCCAGGCTGACCTGCTGTCCTCACCAGCCCACCCAACACCACCACTGGGTGTGGGTCAGCCAAGAAATGCCAGCAGCATTGAGATGGTGATGTCAAAGATGTCCTCGATGCTGTCACTGCCAGTTTCAGGTTATTCCTGGTCTCCCCAGGTGAGGAAGCTGCTGGAGGGATGGTGAACAGCACTTGGCCCTTCTAAAGGAAAGATCCTGACAGCTGAGTCCTCAAACAAAGGCAGGAGAACCCTGAGGACAAGAGGAAACAGAGGAACAGTTGTGCCAGAGGAGGTTCAGACTGGATATCAGGGAAACATCTCACACCACAGCTTTTAACACTGGCTTAAATTAAAAAAAAAAAAAATGCACGACTAGTCACGCAACCGAGCTTTATTCAGAACCTCTGAAGTCATAAAGCATCTCATTTCACCAACACATGTAAACACACAACCAGGAGGTTTCATTCCTTTTTCTCTTGTGCAGAAATAAAAGTTTTAAACCAACCAGAACACCTCCACCCAGACAAGCGTGGTGCAAATGGAATTCTCTGCCTTGGTCCTGCATGTGGAGCCTGGTCACCAGCTTACCCGTTCATTGCACTGTAATTTTTTGGCAGTAGTATAATTCAGACACACAAAGTGCAAATGATAAGAAGCAGAAAATGTTCTCTCTCCTTCCRAGCGATGAGAAGTGCAAAATATTTCAGCCCATAAATTCTGTTATTTATGTTTGTGAACTGTCACAGGCCAACAACCAACCTCGTGAAACCTCACGGATTAAATGTGGCAGCGCCTCGGAGCAGGAAAGGCAGCTACAGAGACACAGGGCGGAGGAATTACTCCCTCTGGCTGAGAAATCCCATACCCTGGGTGAAGGAATTGCTCCCTTTGGCTGAGAAATCCCAAATCCTGGGCAGAGGAATTGCTCCTTTTGGCTGAGAAATCGGAGGAATCGCTCCCTTTGGCTGAGAAATCCCACACGCTGGGCCGAGAAATCCCAAACCCTGGGTGAAGGAATCATTCCCTCTGGCTGAGAAATCCCACACCCTGGGCAGAGGAATTGCTCCTTTTGGCTGAGAAATCAGAGGAATTGCTCCCTTTGGCTGAGAAATCCCACACTCTGGGCCGAGAAATCCCAAACCCTGGGTGAAGGAAATCGTTCCCTCTGGCTGAGAAGTCCCACACCCTGGACAGAGGAATTGCCCCCTTTGGCTGAGAAGTCCTACACCCTGGGTGAAGGAATCGCTCCCTTTGGCTGAGAAATCCCACCCTGGGCAGAGGAATCCCAAATCCTRGTGGAGGAATCACTCCCTTTGGMTGAGAAATCCCACACCCTGGGTGCCTCAGGCACCTGTGCCACCCCAGCAGTTTGTGAGGAATTCTCCCGTGGGGATGTTCCCGTGTCTCTGTGACCCAGATCCCACTCACAGCTCGCTGGGCAAACCCAGCAGGGCACTGGGAATCCACTGGAAATGAGAAGTCTCTGCCAGGCACTGTTAAGGGAATACCCACCAATGGTTCCAGCAGACTAAATGCACTTTGTGATTACCTAAAGTTATGGAAAACTTTCCAAGCAAATAAGGAAAACCCTTTTCCGTCAGAACTAATTGCAGCGTTCCTGTCTCAGTGTAGTTCACCTGGCTTCAGCACCTGTTTAAAATGGGGAAAATTCCACCAAATTACCCACAACAAATGTACCTTTAACATCCCCCTGTGCTGCTCAGTTATTAGACTGCAGATTTTGAATCTTCTTTCCATTTTCCTGGAACTTTCACACAAAATAAGAATACAATTCTGACCCCACCCTCCCTTTTCATTTCTCACAGCTACATCACCATTATAAATTATGCCAAATAGTCCAAATCAGACTGGGTTCCTGCTCCTCTGGATAGAAAGATTAACCCCCAATGCCCTGCACTGCCAGGAATTTGCCTGCCAAACTCATCTGCTACATCACTAAAGCCACGGCCACATAATCACTGCAGGGTGGCTGGGACATGGAATGAAGTTGGGAACTTTTAGCTGAATGTTCCTGCACACCCCCTCCACAGTGGGACTGACCCAGAGTGGGAGCAGCCTTGGGATGGCTCCTCGTGGGCTTCAGACCCCAAAAACTTGGTTGGGGGTTTCAACTGAGCTGGAGGGAACTGAGGAACATCATCCTAAACGGCTGCATCTGGCTGTGGGATGCCTGATGTT